CAGCCAGACTCTGGCAGAGGTCTTCGCGACTGCGGAACGCTATGCGCTCTGGGATGACGATCGAATCGCCGCGAAGAAGTCCACCGAGCAGGAAGATCAGCCGACCAAGCGGACAGGCCAAAGAAGCGACAGGTTTAATAGCAGGGAAAAAGACAAACGTAGGTCGCGCCCACAAGGAGATGCTACGACAAAGTAGAACTACACCAAGTTCTCCATCCCTATACATCAAATTTTAGCCCAAGTAAAGGACAAACCTTGGGTAAAAAGACCGCCACCCTTGAAAGGAGATCCGGATAAGAGGGATACCAGAAAGTATTGCGCCTTCCATGCGACACACGGGCACAATACGAATAATTGCTTTGCTTGGAAAGCGCACCTAGAAGAACTCGTGAGAGAAGGTCACTGCACAGAGTTCATCGCGAAGCAAGCCATCCAGCGAATCGAGGACCACAATGCCGCCAAGGAGCCACCCGAAAAAGTCATAAGGATTAACACAGTCCTGGCTGACTCCGAGGAGTCTGGGTTGACCAGCAAGGAAAATAAGAGGAAAATCAAACATGCCATTGTGATCTCCCAGGTCTCCACTAGTCTCCCACTGGCAGAAGACGATCCCGTGATCGGCTTCCAAAAGAAAGATCTAATCGGTCTCAATCTGTCACACAACGACGCCCTTGTCATCAGCATTCAAATCGCTCAGGCCATGGTCGATCGAATCCATGCAGACGAGGGCAGTGCGGCCAATATCCTACAATTGGCAGTCATCCAGCAGATGGGCTTAGAGACAAAGATCAACAAATCAGCTAGGTCATTAACCAGCTTCAATGGCGCAACAACGGTTACCGTGGGCACGATAGATCTCGACGTCTACTCCCCACCTGTAATCAGCTCGCAAACATTCATGGTCATTGATAAAGTCTCGCCCTACAATGGCATTCTGGGCAGACCATGGATCAGCAAGATCAACGCCATCACCTCCTCCACACATCAGAAAATCCGTTACCCTATTCCTGGGGGCGGTATCGGTCAGATCAACAGTGATCAGGCAATGGCAAGGAAATGCTCAGCTCAAGGGCTGAAGAGAAGCAAGCAAACACAGTTCCTCCCTGTAAATCAGGCAGATATGAGGGGAGTAGAGCAACCAGAGGAGAAGGCAAATCCCGTTCATGACGGTCGAGCAGACCAGAAAGGAAAGGGAATAGCTACTCCCCAATAGCAATCAAAGAATCAGGACCAAGTCGAGGAAATCCGTCCGGAGGTCTCTCCTGAAGAAGGATGGAAGCCCGAAGAGGACGTCGAGCTAGTACCCCTTGATCCTGACAAGCCAGAGAGAAAAGCGCGGATCGGCTCGCGCCTAAGCCAGGAGGAAAAGGCAGAGCTTGCAGCCTTCCTCCAGAACAACAAAGACGTATTCGCATGGTCGCCATTCGACATGCCAGGCATCGATCCCCAGATCATCTGCCATCGCCTACACGTCAACCCAGCAATCAAGCCTGTAGCGCAGAAGACACGCAACTTCGCCCCCGAGCAAGTTGTCATCATTGAAGCCGAGATCGACAAGCTCCTAGCTGCTGGTTTCATTAAAGAAGTCTCCTACGCAGAATGGCTGGCGAACATTGTTCTAATAGCAAAGAAAGATAAAGGCCTGTGGAGAGTGTGCGTTGACTACACCGACCTCAATAAGGCATGCCCTAAAGACAACTTTTCACTACCAAGAATTGATCAGCCCGTCGATTCAACTTCTTGCAATCAACTGCTAAGCTTTATGGACGCCTACTCCGGCTACAATCAAATCATGATGCATGAAGACAACAAGGCAAAGACCTCCTTCATCATTGAAAGAGGTACATACTGCTACAAAGTCATGCCCTTTGGGTTGAAGAACGCCGGAGCAACCTACCAAATGCTAGTAAACAAAATTTTCAAGGAGCAAATCGGTAAAACTATGGAGGTCTACGTAGACGACATGTTGGTCAAAGCTCCCCAGCGAGCAGACCACATCACAAACCTCGCTGAGGCATTCAGCCTGCTCCGAAAATACAACATGAAGTTGAACCCGAGCAAATGCACATTTGGAGTCTCGTCTGGCCGATTCCTGGGATATTTAGTCACCCAAAGAGGAATTGAGGCACATCCGAATCAAATCAAGGCTATACTCAACATGAAGTCACCTGCCACAACAAAGGAGATACAAAGTCTAACGGGTAGAGCAGCAGCTCTCAACCGATTCCCCTTGAGATCTACCGACAAGTGCAGGTCATTCTTCAAAGCCTTGAAGAAAGGACACAAGGACAAGTGGGATGATGAGTGCGATGTAGCTTTTCAAAACTTGAAGACCTACCTCACTACACCTCCCCTACTCTCAAAACCGATACCAGGCGAAGACTTGTACATCTACCTGGCGGAGTCCGACTCAGTTGTCAGCTCAGCTCTCATCCGAGAAGAGCTGAGGGCACAACATCCGGTATTCTACACTTCAAAAGCTCTCCTTGACGCAGAGACTCGCTACTCGAAAATGGAGAAGCTCATTTTTTCGCTTGTAGTTTCCGCAAGAAAGCTAAGGCCCTACTATCAAGCTCACCGGATAATTGTCATGACAGAATTTCCTTTGAGATCGATCCTCCACAACCCCGACGCCTCTTAGCGACTCATGAAATAGGCTATTGAACTCAGTCAATACGACCTCCTCTACCGGCCGACGACTGCTATAAAAGCTCAGGCTTTAGCAGATTTTGTTGTAGAGTTTACTCCGACAGCCGAAGAAGAGAAGCTGGTCAAGAAAAGCAAGGAAAAAGCAGACGATACCTCCCCCGTCGATTCAAACCTACCTAACGACATGTGGTAGTTGCATGTAGACGGAGCGTCAAATAACAAAGGAGCGGGGGTAGTCGTCGTCATAATCACCCCAAACGCAACTTTGTTGGAACAAGCTATCATGCTGGGCTTTCCTGCTTCAAACAACGAGGCAGAATATGAGGCATTGCTCACCGGACTGCGCCTAGCAAAAGAACTGTCGATCAAAACATTGGCCATCCACTCAGACTCCCAGCTGATCACGAATCAAGTCTCAGGCGAGTACATGGCGAAACATCCAAGAATGATCCAGTACCTCGACAAAGTCCACGGACTTTTGAAAGAATTCCCTACTTTCACCATCCAACAAGTTCCACGTGCGGAGAACACTCATGCAGATACGCTGGCAAGCCTAGGATAAGTGCTGGACACCCAGTTCAAACGCTCCATCCCGGTAGAACACCTTGATCGGCCAAGCATCGAAGAAATAGAGCCAATTGACTCAATGCACATCGATGAAAACCCCAGCTGGCAAGAACCCATCATCAACTACTTGGTGAATGGAAATCTTCCAACGGATAAGTCCGAAGCTAAGAGGATCCAGCAGAAAGCCGCGAGATACTACATGCAAGGCGACAAGCTCATTCGCAGATCATACTCCGGCCCTCATCTCACCTGCATAAAATACTCTCAAACACTTGAGGTCCTCTGCAAAATTCACGACGACGAGTGTGGCAACCACTCTGGGGGTAGGTCACTCGCCAGAAGGCTCTGAATATAGTCTATTTCTGGCCTACCATGCGCCATGACTCCACTGAGTATGTCAAAAGATGTGATCGCTGCCAACGATACAAACCGGTTCCTAACCTGCCTACCGAAATCTACCATCCGCAGAACAGTCTGTGGCCTTTCATGCAATGGGCCATCGACTTAGTAGGCCCCATGCCAACGGCACTAGTCAATAAAGAAATGATGATCGTCGCAACTGATTATTTTACTAAATGGATCGAGGCCGAAGCTCTATCCTCTACTAAAGAAGCCGATGTGGAACGATTCATCTAGAGAAACATCATCCGCCGATTTGGCTGCACACAATCACCAGTTACCGACAATGGCTCACAATTAATCGACAAGTAGATGACTGAGCCCTGCACATTTATGAAGAAGAGAAGCAACTACTGCAAATTCCAGAATGTGCCACAACAAAAGATAGTTGCCCATAAACAGCGTCCTAAGGGAGACGCAGGGTGACGACCAAAAGCGTTCTACGAGAGACGTAGCCCGCAAAGAAGCGTCCTAAGGGAGACGCAGAGTGTGCCAGGAATTTCCTAAGGGAAGTATCCAGGTTCCTATCTGTTTCCTAATGGGGGCAGGATAGTCATACAGTTGCCCATAAAAAGCGTCATAAGGGAGACGCAGGGCGACGACCAGAAGCGTCCTTCGGGAGACGCAGCCCGCAAAGCAGCGTCCTAAGGGAGACGCAGGGTGCGCCAGGAATTTCTTAAAAGGAGGTCTCCATGCTTTCTGCGAGAAATATACAGGTTCCTATCCGTTTCCTAAGGGGGGCAAGATAGCCAAACAGTTGCCCATAAAAAGCGTCCTAAGGGAGACGCAGGGCAACGACCAGAAGCGTCCTTCGGGAGACGCAGCCCCCAAAGCAGCATCCTAAGGGCGTTGCAGGGTGCGCCAGGAATTTCCTAAGGGAGGTATCCAGGTTCCTATCCGTTTCCTAAGGGGGGCAGAATAGTCATACAGTTGTCCATAAGTAGCGTCCTAAGGGAGACGCAGGGAACGACCAGAAGCGTCCTTCGGGAGACACAGCCCGCAAAGAAGCGTCCTAAGGGAGATGCATGGTGCGCCAGGAATTTCCTAAGGGAGGTATCCAGGTTCCTATCCGTTTCCTAAGGGAGGCAGGATAGTCATACAGTTGCCCATAAAAAGCGTCCTAAGGGAGACGCAGGGCGACGACCACAAGTGTCTTAGGCTTTCTCCGGAATATGCAGAATACGCCCGGAGTCCTTCAAGGGGGACCCTGGCTTTTGCCAAAATCCTAAAGAGAAATGTACTGCCAAGACACTAGCCGGTTACTCAAGCAGTTCACAAGACAATATGCGATTGAAGTTGAAATAATAATTGAAATTTCCATAGCAAAGTGACCAACCGGCCAAGTTCAAACAAAAAGAAGATGGTCAAACAAGACCAATTATTCTAAACAAAAAGCAGACTACAAAAGCTGAAAAGAAATAAAGGAGTCTTCATCTACTCCGAAATGCCGGCAGGGGATCATTGATCTGCAGCCTCTTCAGCGTCCACCTGATCAGCCATGCTCTCAGCAGCTCCACATGCCTGATCAATGACGTCTGCCGGCACTCTCATCGACACGTCTCCGGAGATAGGCCGA